ATGAGGTCTCGCCAAGTTGCCCAGGCAGGTCTCGAACCCGCGGGCTCAGGCAATCCACTCACCTCAGCCTCCCAAAGGCGCGGGATTACAGGCTGAGCCACCGAGCCCGGCTTCTCTTTTTTTTTTTAAGAGACAACTTCTCATTCTGTTACCCAGGCTGAAGTACAGTGGTGCAATCATAGTTCACTGCAGCCTTGACTTCCTAAGCTCAAGTGATCCTTCTGCCTCAGCCTCCTGATAGCTGAGATTATAGGCACACAGCACCACTTCCAACTTATTTTTTATTTGTAGAGATGGGGGTCTCACTGTGTGGTCCTGGTTTGTCTTGGACATCTGTTCTCAAGTGATCCTCCCACTTTAGCCACTCAAAGTGCTGCGATTACAGGTGTGAGCCACTGTGCCGGCCCACTAACTCCTTCCTTTTTTCTTTTTTTCTTTTTTGAATTGGGGTGTCACTCTGTCGCTCAGACTGGAATGCAGTGGCACAATCACAGCTCACTGCAGCCATGATCCTTCCTCCTCAGCCTCCTGAGTAGCTAGGACTTCAGCCTCCTGAGTAGCTAGGACTTCAACTAGCTAGGTAGTGCACCACTACCCCCAATTACTTGTTAAATTTTTTGTAACAAGATCTCACTATGTTGCCTAGGCTGGTCTTGAACTCCTGACCTCAAGCAATCTTCCCACCTCAACCTCTCAAAGTGCTGAGATTACAGGTGTGAGCCACCATACCCAGCCCATAAAGATTTACTCCTATTCTAAGTGTTTTATAGTTTTGTCTTACATGTAGGTGTGTGCCTGTCTTATTCCAGATTGTATCTCCAGTGCCTAGAAAATGCCTACTGCATAGAAGATACTTGATACATACTGATATGAATTACTTAATATTGAGTGAATGAATGAACATTTAGTGCATATTTCTATTTTATTTATTTATTTATTTTAGTAGAAGTCTCACTGTGTCACCCAGGCTGGTGTGTAGTAGCACGTTCATGGCTACTACAGCCTCGACCTGCAGGGCTCAGGCAATCTTTCTGCCTCAGCCTTCCGAGTAGCTGGGACTACAGGCATGCACCACCATGCCCAGCTAATTTTTTGATTAATTGTAGAGATGAGGTCTCGCCAAGTTGCCAGGCTGGTCTTGAATCCCTGGGCTCAGGCAATCCTCTTGCCTCTGCATCCCAAAGTATTGGGATCACAGGTGTGAGCCACCGTGCCCGGCCAAGTGGATATTTCTTTAGTCCTAGATCTCACACTGATTAAGTGAAATCCCAGGGTTAAGAGCATGGCGTCATGCAGATGCAGGGCACCAGTTTGTTTCACCCTCTCCCCCCATGATCCTGCCGTTAGTGAGTTCTCACCTTCCTTTTTCTGCCTACTTCTTTCCTATTTTCCTTCAGTTTTGCTTCTCTTTAGTTTTCCTAAATATTGCTAAGACATTTCCTAAACAAATAGTGTCTAATCTACTTTGGTTAACTGGCAAATGTGGTGGATACTGTATATAAGAATTTTTTTTCTGTGGTAAAAATCTTTGTTGGTGTTACATTTCTTTTGCTGTTTTTTTCTTGGGTTCCACAAATAAATTCAGATAATGCAGCAGTGTCAAAATTACAAAGTAAAAATTGCCTTCAGTGGGGGGGTGGGCTGTATCACTATGTCTAGAACATGCTTTTAGGAAAAAAGCATGTGCATGTAGACGGAAAAAAGGCATATTGTCAACAATTAGGGAATTGAGGTGAAAGGTACTAGGGAGTTCCTTGTACTATCATGTCAACAACTTTCTTTAGTTAGTTTTTTTTTTCTTTAAAAAAAAAAAGTCTTAGCCGGGCTCAGTGGCTCAGTCTGTAATTCCGCGCCTTTGGGAGGCTGAGGTGAGTGGATTGCCTGAGCCCACGGGTTCAAGACCTGCCTGGGCAACTTGACGAGACCTCATCTCTACAATAAATCAAAAAAATCAGCCGGGCATGGTAGCGTGTGCCTGTAATTCCGGCTACTCGGAAGGCTGAGGTGAAAGGATTGCCGGAGCCCAGCAGGTCGAGGCTGCGGTGGCCGGGAGCGGCCACTGCATTCGGGTCTGGGTGACAGAGTGAGACCCCAACTCAAAAAAAAAAAAAGTCTTGGCAGGGTGCAGCGGCTCACACCTATAATCCCAGCACTTTGGGAGGCTAAGATGGGAGGATCACTTGAGTCCAGGAGTTCAAGGTCAGCCTAGGCAACATAGTGAGACTTCATCTCTACCAAAAAAATTTAAAAATTAGCTGGGCGTTGTGGTGCGCACCTGTAGTCCTGCTACTCAGGAGGCTGAGGTGGGAGGATTGCCTGAGTACAAGAGGTCAAGGCTGCGGTGAGCTGGGATCAAGCCACTGCACTCCAGTATGGGTGACAGAGTGAGACCCCGCCTCAAAAACAAACAATTCTACCCACAGAGGAAATTGGCAGCTGTGAACTCCGAAAAGTTACTGTGTGCTGGGCCATTTAGCTTACATTTGTCATGTGATTCACAGCTACTGAGGAGGAAACAAAAGTGAAGGCTGGTGACTGACCTTGGCTGAGTTTGGAACCAGAATTTGGATGTGGGTCTCTGGGCTCCAGGCCTTCATTCCTTAATGGCCTTGTGTGTTGCAAATAGCAATCTTTTCCCCTGGGAATGACCTGGCTTCCCCATCATCCTGTACTTTAATGAGCCTGTGCTTAGTGGGTGGGAGACAGCCCAGAAGTTTCTAGAACAGAGGGGCTGCCATCCTGGGACTTGCAGGAAAACAAGCAAGGGTGTGGAAGAACAGTTGCCACCCAACCAGTTAGCAGGCATGCCCTGAGGTCTCAATTTCCTGGGCCTCTCAGGCTCCGGGGGGGGGGGGGGGGGGGGG